AAATTTTATTGCATTTTTGAGCATAACTTACAATTTCTGAGTTTTGATGATTTTTCCCAAAATTGGCCACGAGGCGCAGCAAGTTGCGGGACTAGGTGACTTGCACCATACGAAATTCCACTATGCTCTTTTTCACAACAATAAATTAATATAAATCTTGAATAAAAATTCATTATCAAACTTTAGTAATTGATTCATCGTGATTCTAATGCATTAATTCATTATTCTTTTTCTTTGTTTAGTAAAACTTCACTATAGAGAGTTTATAAAAGCATTATATATTGAGCAGAATTTATATATAATCAAATTGTAGCAGGTTCACTATATCGGGCGCCGATTGTACAATGTTTCACCAATATATTATGAAATGAATGACTTCCAAAGATTACGTGTGTGCGAATGCGTATGCGAATTGATCGAATATAAATTAATAAATAAAATTAATTCGTTGTAATCATTAAAATATTTAAGAATGGCTTCATATTTTGGTAATGATATTATATTAGTTAATTAATTAATTAATTTTACTCGAAAAAATAATTTTTAATTTTTGTTTGTTTTGTTATATAGCTGAAAAAGGTTTACCGGATCCTGAACAAAAACAAACTAATAACAATAATTCTAACTCCAACAATGGTAATAATCCAGATGTTTCCTCTTTCTTTACATCATCATCATCATCACCATCAAATAACATCGATGAAAATCAATCTTTGGAAGCTAGTCTCGAACAATTCTTTTCTTTGGCAAAGTAAGATGTGTATATATCTTCTGTGATGTGCTTGCCTTTATTATTAATATTAATTTTAAGGTTATTTTTGTGGAAAATAAAAAATTAAAGCCTTCTAGGTACACTTAGAGATCAGGGAGCAGGTGATAATACTCATCAAGAATTTCTAGATAATTTAATATCTCAATTGACCGAGGAAGCAAATGCAAGGTAAATTACATTGGCGATGATGATAATAGTAGTTATTATTAATAATATTTTTTATATTTTATTA